ATTGTTAATGCTACTGCTAGTACTGCTGCTATTATTATCATTATTACTATTGGTTATTGTTAATGCTACTGCTAGTACTGCTGCTATTATTATCATTATTACTATTGGTTATTGTTAATGCTACTGCTAGTACTGCTGCTATTATTATCATTATTACTATTGGTTATTGTTAATGCTACTGCTAGTACTGCTGCTATTATTATCATTATTACTATTGGTTATTGTTAATGCTACTGCTAGTACTGCTGCTATTATTATCATTATTATTATTATCATTATTATTATTATCATTATTACTATTGGTTATTGTTAATGCTACTGCTAGTACTGCTGCTATTATTATCATTATTACTATTGGTTATTGTTAATGCTACTGCTAGTACTGCTGCTATTATTATCATTATTACTATTGGTTATTGTTAATGCTACTGCTAGTACTGCTGCTATTATTATCATTATTATTATTATCATTATTATTATTATCATTATTATTATTATCATTATTACTATTGGTTATTGTTAATGCTACTGCTAGTACTGCTGCTATTATTATCATTATTACTATTGGTTATTGTTAATGCTACTGCTAGTACTGCTGCTATTATTATCATTATTATTATTATCATTATTACTATTGGTTATTGTTAATGCTACTGCTAGTACTGCTGCTATTATTATCATTATTACTATTGGTTATTGTTAATGCTACTGCTAGTACTGCTGCTATTATTATCATTATTACTATTGGTTATTGTTAATGTTTCTTTTCTTCTCTATAAAGTTTTTTTTTATTACTTTACTCTTAAGGGTGCTTATAATTAAGTTGTTCATTGATAAATGTATCCATTTGTATAGACGATCTAGTATTTTATCCATTCATTTACAATCTATGTATCATTTCAGCTTATCCCTTAACGCGTCGTCGATACCCATAACACCATGCCAATTAGCCCATTTTTTAATCCATTATTACACACACATCCCCCTACCAACTCAAGATAAAGCGATTCACCATCCCAACAGGTTCAACATCACCGCCGAGGACGCTGCCATTTCCCTCTCACGACTGAACACGGCCATGGACAGAGAGAACTGCCGGAAGCTGACCCCCGCGGGCTGCGAGATGCCAAAGTCACGTCCCTCTTGCTCCGCGTCGCACCCCTACAGGACCATCGACGGCACCTGCAACAACCTCGGGCACCCGAAGTGGGGTTCTGCCATGACGCCCTTCGTGAGGTACCTCGTGCCTGCCTATGAGGACGGTGAGTTTGAGCGATATAGTGCATGACGGTGATTCATTGAGTATTGATATAGATAGATAGATTAATGGCTAGATAGATGGTTAGATATATAGATAGATGGGTAGATAGATAGATAAATGGCTAGATAGACATATATGGATATAGATATATAGATATACATTGCAATACACAATGGTCTATACTGATACATGGGGAGAAAGAGGGGAGAGAGACTGAGAAGAAGAGAGAGAGAGATTGAATGAGCGAGAGGGAGGAAAAAAAGGAGAGGATGGGAGAGACAGAAGGGAGAGAGAGAGAGAGAGAGAGTAAGGGAGAGTAAGAGAGAGTAAGAGCGACAGAGAGAAGGAGAGAACGCGAGAGCGAGTGCGACGACAGAAAGGGGGAGAGAGAGCAAGAGCGAGCGACAGAGAGGAGGAGAGAGAAAAAGAGCGAGAGCGAGCGACAGAGAGGAGGAGAGAGGGAGAGAGAGAGAGAGCAAGACCGAGCGCCGGAGATAGAGATATAGAGCGTTAATTCATCTAACCCACACCATTTCACCCAATCTCACCGCATCAGTCAGACGAAAATCCACGGGGTTTGGGAGAGACCACAGACCACTCTTTACGCCTATCAACAGCTCACTCTCGCGCGCAGTTCTCTCACCCTTATCCCTCCCACTCGCATGGCGGTAACAGGGCTCTACCAGAAAGTTCCCTTTAACAGTAAATAGATAAATAGGCGGAGAGGATAGGGAGCAATGCCCTGTGTGTGTGTGTTTTGCGTGTGTGTGTTTTGCGTGTGTGTGTTTTGCGTGTTTGTGTTTTGCGTGTGTGTGTTTTGCGTGTGTGTGTTTTGCGTGAGTGTGCTTTGCGTGTGTGTGTGTGTGTGTGTTTTGTGTGTGTGTGTGTGTGTGTTTTGCGTGTGTGTGTGTGTGTGTGTGTGTGTGTGTGTGTGTGTGTGTGTGCGCGTTTGTTTTGTGTGTGTGTGTGTGTGTGTGTGTGTGTGTGTGTGTGTGTGTGTGTGTGTGTGTGTCTCCGTCGGCTACAAAGGATCAATCAAACACGCCTCGCTGTAACAGAAATAACAAGTTCACAGTCAACTGCCTTTAATGAGTACCCCGAGAGAGGCTCATTACCAGCCATGCGACTCTTAGGGAGCACATCTTTGATAATTACTTTCAGGAAAGGGCTATGGAGTCACGTTTGTTAAGCACCGTGTTTAACTGGTAAATACTAGTTCGTAAAAAGGAGGAAAACGCGACGATAAAGGAAGGGAGAGGAAAAGGAGAGGAGGAGAGGAGGGACGGAGGTGTTGCATCTTTTGCGTTATAATCAGATCTTTGTGTAGAGTAACAACATCGACCATAATCATAATAATGATATATTCCACGTAATGATGAAATAAGATAATAACCGAAATCATAATCCTAAAATGAGACTTGGTTTTAAGTACTAAATTATTAAAATATTAATTGGATTACTAAGAGTGATTGTTTAACAAGATAAGTCTTTATCACTATCATCACTGTCATTAACAGCGATGGTAACACTGACGGTAATTACAATAATGGCAGTAACAAAGACGATGAAATTACCATTTTAGGGAAATCCTCCTGACACTCATTTCGTGACGGAAAAAAAAATGTCATTGCCCCGCTCAGGAAGGCGTGTCCCGTTAAAGACAGCAATAACTCATCTATAACCCGTCCCCTTGCCACGCCCCCTAACGCCCCGCTTCCCCCTCCCCCCTCCCCCACTTCTCCCTCCCCCCTCCCCCACTTCTCCCTCCCCCCCACTTCTCCCTTCCCCTCCCCCACTTCTCCCTCCCCCCTCCCCCACTTCTCCCTCTCCCTCCCCCTCCCCCACTTCTCCCTCCCCCCTCCCCCACTTCTCCCTCTCCCTCCCCCCTCCCCCACTTCTCCCTCTCCCTTCCCCTCCCCCACTTCTCCCTCCCCCTCCCCCACTTCTCCCTCCCCCCTCCCCCACTCCCACCCTTCCCCCTTCCCCCCGGTGTTTCTCAAAGGTTCCCACGTTCTTTTATTGCGTCACGCGAGTCGTTTCCATATTTCCTCGCCTTGTCTCCTCTCCATATCTACTATTCAAGTGTTTTTTATACATTTCATCTCCGTTTTTTTCCTCCTTGCCTCATTTTCTATTCTCCAAACGTCGTTTATTTGTTTATTTCCTCTAGACCGTTTCTTTTCTTCTTCTTTTTCTTCTACTTTTTCTTCTACTTTTTCTTCTTTTTCTTCTTCTTTTTCTTCTTCTTCTTTTTCTTCTTCTTTTTTTTTCTTCTTTTTTTTCTTCTTCTTATTATTATTATTATTCTTTTTCTTCTTCTTTTTCTTCTTCTTTCTATTCATCCGTTTTCTCCTTATTCTCAGTTTACACCTTTCCGTCTGTAGGCTTTTTTATGCTTCTCGTCTTGTATTTCTATTGTCTTTTGTAGACTGATATTTCTTTTTCCTATTTTTCTTTTTTCAGTTCCTCCTCGTCTTCATTTTCTTTCTTTTTTCTTTGCATTCTTATTCTTATTCCTATTCTTATTCTTTGTCTTTTTTTTCTTCCTTTCCTTATTATCTTTATAAGTCGTCGTCTTCTCCTCTTCTGGTTTTTTTCTTTTTCGTCTTTTCTTAATTTTCTATTTATTATTTCTTCTTTCTCTTTCTCTTTTTTCTTCTTCTTTATCTTCTTTTTCTGCATTTGCTTCTTTTTCTTTTTCTTTTTCTTTATTTTTCTTCAGCTTATTCTCTTCCTTTACGATTAATTTATTTTTTCATCTTACCACGTTATCTTCCATATCTATTATTTTTTTATAATGATGATGATTCTATAATTATCAATATTATTTTTATTATTATTATTGTTATTGTTATTGTTATTGTTATTGTTATCATAATCTTCATCATTATCATTATCTGTACTATTATCATCATTATCATTATCTGTACTATTATCATCATTATCATTATCTGTACTAAAATCATCATTATCATTATCTGTACTATTATCATCATTATCATTATCTGTACTATTATCATCATTATCATTATCTGTACTATTATCATCATTATCATTATCTGTACTATTATCATCATTATCATTATCTGTACTATTATCATCATTATCATTATCTGTACTATTATCATCATTATCATTATCTGTACTATTATCATCATTATCATTATCTGTACTATTATCATCATTATCATTATCTGTACTATTATCATCATTATCATTATCTGTACTATTATCATCATTATCATTATCTGTACTATTATCATCATTATCATTATCTGTACTATTATCATCATTATCATTATCTGTACTATTATCATCATTATCATTATCTGTACTATTATCATCATTATCATTATCTGTACTATTATCATCATTATCATTATCTGTACTAAAATCATCATTATCATTATCTGTACTATTATCATCATTATCATTATCTGTACTATTATCATCATTATCATTATCTGTACTATTATCATCATTATCATTATCTGTACTATTCTCATGGAACCCAAAACCATATTCTAATGGATGTCTGGATTTGATTAGCGTCGCGATGACCGCAGTTGCTAGAAGTGTAAATGGTGCGTCACAGGCCTGCAACGTAAAGGGAATTTGGGAGGCTGGAGAAGACTCTGTCGGAGGTGATGGTTACATCACTATATTTCGCATGTGCGTTTGTGTTTACGAATATATATATATATATATATATATATATATATATATATATATATATATA